GGGGGGGTTCTTATAATAATTAATCTGCTATGTTCGGTAACCAAATAAGCTAGGCTTCATTTGGTAGGACGAGTTTTTTATCTCATAAGCTTCATTTGGTAGTTTTTGAAATAAGATAGCCGAAATTTTTATTTCATTTTACCACAATAGGTTAGCTTGTCAACTATAAGTCATAAGCTATAAGCTAGCTTATCAACTATCAGTAATTTCACCAAACATAACCTAGATTAAATGGGCATCGGATGATCACATCCCCTTTGTATGCATATTGCAAGGCAAAAAACTTAGAACTGGAACAATCCTATTTGGCAATTTCTAAAAAAGGTGAATAATGAAGTATCAGATACAAATCTCAACACGGAGGAATTTCAAGAACGAGCCACGATGTAAGAAAAACCACAAACCAACTAAGTGATCATCGAGTGGATTTGCTGGCCCAAACAATCATATAGGCCCAAAAAAAGGAAACTCGATTACTAAAATAAACAGAGGCTTAATCAGCAACTGAAAATAAGTATCACGTACAATTTTCTGTAGATATAAGTGTGATCGTCTATACAGGAAACCATTTATAATACACAAATGCTACTGTTAGACTACTTACCAAATAACAATATGCAATCATCCGAAAATGCATACTTATCCTATAAAACATCGTACTTTTGTTTACATCATATGTTAAAGTATGACATTTGCGTGCAAAAATATGTATACAAGTTGGAAGGGTATGACAATCTAATGGCAGGCAACCTAACAAAAGAATTACAGTTGAAAAATAAAATACATTGAATTAAATGCACCTAAATCTAAAATACCAACAAGAGAGGTCAAAAGATCAACATGTTCACTTTCAGCCAAACAAAAAACAGGACTCAACAACAAATGCCAAGAGAGATAGTAATTGGATGAGAAAAAAGAGAGGTCAAAAAGATCAACAAGTTTACTTTCAACCCAACAAAAACCAGTACTCAAAAGAACAAATGCCAAGAGATAGTAACTGGATGAGAACCAAGTAAAACGAGGCGAAAAGGAATCGAGTTAACGAACCTGCGGCTGTTGCGCTTGGCGGCCTCGCGAGACTTGCGCTTCTTCTTCTCCTGGTTAGACTCGAAATACCTGCGGCGCCTCACCTCCTGGAGGATGCCAGAGCGCGCGACTTCCCTCATGAACCGTTCGACCCAGTCGTCGTTCTCGTCATCGCCAACGATCACCTCGACATTGACTGGTCGTGACCTGAAGTATATGTTCGCGTTGGCGAGCGAGGGGCACACCACGCGCATGACGTCGGACGAACTGGAAACCGACGACTGGTATTCATCGGACAGGACGAGGGGAGACCACCTGGGTTGGTCGGTCGCGGCGGCGGACACGAGGGGTCGCCGAGGAATTTGCGACCGAGGCGGCGTGGGTTTCGAGGGGGTGAAGAGAGAGAAAATTTTGGGAATGGATAGGGTCGCCATTGGAGATAGGATTGGGGAGATTGCGATAGGGTTGTAATGGTAACAGTGTCTTCGGTTTTGGTTTTTGAAATTTATCGGGCTTTATATTTGGACTCTTGAGTGGGCGACTGGGCTCTGGCCCATTAGCACAA